ATAATGCTCTTTAATAAAAGAGGGTCATTAGACTGTAATTATTCACCTTAGGTCAGACATTAATTTTGATGTCTAGGAATGAATATTTTTAAGGTAGGCTTTTTCCTGGCTTGTTGTTGGAGTGGGGATCTTAGCATCCACGTCCCAGCTCCTTCCCCAAATAAGCTATATTGATATCATCCCTGTTCTCAGCTGTGAGGCCAGTGACATCTTGGAAGTGAGGCTCTCAAAGCATCAAGTCTACTTGATGTGGCTGGCCACTCCCAAAGCGAATGAGGTCACCAATGGAGCTTTGATATGAAAAATGAAGAAACCTGATACGAGTCTATCCTCCCCTAAATAGAGAAACTCAGAATTGGTAAAAAGATCTATCAGGCATCATTTCTAACCACTGACTCAAAATAGTTTTCACATAATTCAGTCTGCTAGGTTCCAGGATGTAGTTAAGAGTTGTAGAAAACTGGTGAGGATAATTCCAAGAAAACAGACGATCTCATTGACATCCAGTGGACAGATGTATCATAGCACGGTTAGAGAGGGACAGAGGAATGGGAAAGAACAGAACCAGGACGGTACAATCATGCCACCCATCTTGAATTTCCAGTTTTATTTTTTGAAAATGACACAATGATAAAACTTCTAAGAAGCACCATTGAAAAACGTTGCCCGGCCAACTTGGGCACGGGCTTAAATATTATTTAAATAATTCCATTTCTTAAAAAATACAGGACCTTTTCGAACCTTTTGACTCCCAGGAAGAAATTTCCCACATCATATCCAAAATGCTTCCCATCACAACAAATGGAATTTCTGATGGCCTTAAAAAAAAAAAAATGCTATGGGGATAATGGCCATATAGCACCAGGAGATCATGCAGGGTCTACAAAGTGAACACTCCGGATTTCAGGGGAGCTGGATCAGTCCCAGCTATTTTGTGTAACTTTGCATTCTGTCCATCACCAATTTGACTATGCAGAGTGATCCCATTTGACCAGCTGTGTGTAAAATAACCCAATCTGCAAAGCCAAAGCCAGTAGCAGCAAGTCTATCTGATGAAACCAGTGGAGCAGACTTATCAAGTGAGTATAATGCCAAAACCAGCACATAATGCATGAAGTAAATTATGTGTGGAAAGGATCAATGTTCAACTGTGAAAAACTAAGACAAACGACACTGAATACAACTCTGCGGGATGTTCTTAATGCCCTTAGGTCCACTTTTCTGTCATTTCCCCCAACGGTGGACTCAAGCATGAAAAATGACAGATGCAAGAGCTTTCTCTTTGATTTTGACCTATGTCTGCTCTTGTGATGTTTTTGAAAGGTATTTTTAGGCGTCTCAAAGGGGAAACAAGCAAGTAAATGCAAAGGGGAAAAAAATGGACCTTCAAAACCAGGGCAGGAAATCAAATCATTACTTTAACGTCAAATTTTGGCATCAAATGCTTTGGTCATACAATACTGTCTCTGTGGTTCTGGCTGTTTAGCACTAAACACCCAGTTATAAAAGGTAGGCTTGTTGTAGGTTTATTTTTTTTTTTTTCCATTTAAGTTCTGACAAAACAGTTCACCATCTCCCTGCACAAATTTGAGAGAGAGAGAAAAAGAGAGCAAAAAAGAGAGAGGTGGCTTGCTTTTTTTTTTTTTTTTTTGCTTGTTTTTTTTTTTCTTTTTAATAATAATATGGAGTAATCTATAAGTCTACAGGAACAGAGAAATCTAAGATGGCCGCTCAGCCTTGGAATGTACATGTTTTGCAGCAAAGTTGTTGAAGAACCTTCCTCTGGCACAGATTGTTCTTTTTCACTAGCATACAGAAGCCTCCTTCCGCCCAGGACTCTTCCGTTGCTTTTCCAGGAAGTCAGCAAGACAGAGGGGGGAGTTGAGGACGAGAGCAGCATGATGTACACGCGGAAGAAGGTTTTGATTGGCCAGAGAGGCAGATGGGGGGATTGGAAGAGCTCATTGAGGAGCAGTCAACAAGGAGGAATTTGGGTCCAGCCAAAGGGATTTCAGTCAACAGCATTGTTTTTTTCAAGGAGAGAGATTGCGGTCCAGTGGTGAATGGGATTGATGTCCATTTATGAAAGGGAAAAAAAGGATTCGAAAAAAGAATAAGTTAGAAATCAATAATAATATAAGCAAGGAATTTGTCTTCTCAGAATTACCTAGAGCAGAGAGTATACCGTCATTTATACTATATTTCATTGAGTCCAAGACACTGGATTTAAGATGCACCATTATTTTAAGTATTAAGAAAAAACATGCTTCATGTGTCTTATTACATGGTGACCCAAGAGTCTCCTTAATTAGAATATTAATTTTATGCTTATTTGGAAATATTAGTTATATAACAGGCTGTTTTGTTTCTGTGCTTATACAAAAACTCTTCTTTTGAATATTAAACAATTAGTTTTTGAAGCTGTTTTGAACTACAGTTAAATTCAACACAAGAAGCGGTAACCATGTGCCTAACTCTGTGACAAAGTCACAGGCAATGACAGCTATGTCGCATCAACCTATTGGACAGAAGTGGTTGTAAGCTGCCATAAATTATAAGATGCATCTGACTTCAGGGATGTTAAAATGTAAAAGAAAAAAAAAGTATGTCTTAGAATCATTGAAATATGACAGTTGAAAGAGAATAAATCACAAACCCATAAATGCAATCAATATGTGATTTGAAAAGCCTGGTGGAGCCATCGGTGATCTTATTATCTAGCTGACCTAAGGTGGGCTCTTTACAAATCACGATTCTTCATTTTCTACTCTTGCCCACAATTCTGGACACCCCATTTCTACTAAAGTGTGTGCCACCTGGCATAACTTATCCCAAGTTTACCATGGTTTAGAGAAGGCAGTTAAAGCGTCACAAACATGGCCAGGCCTGGCACCAAGTGCTGTGGGTGAAATTTCAAGTGACTGTGGATCTTCTGAGTCTAGAAAATCATCCTCTGTTTCCTGTCACCAACTTAAAAATTCTGGTCAGATCCGGCTATGGGGGAACCATGTTTTTAAGTAAAAAGTGATACTTACATGGTCCCTGGAGTGCCATCACCCCAACCCTCTATCCCCGTGTTGTGTGGTGAGAACAGAGCCTGAGTGGGTCTGGCCCATCCCTGCTAGACCAATCCTACAGCCAAGTAGCCATGAAGACGCAAAGTCACCTATGATGCTCTGTGGAGACCATAGATGATGCTCTACAAATATCATCGTGTGCCCTGTTCTTTCAGATGCCTTTTTGAAATTCCTCATAGGAAGTTTTAGAATGACCATACAAGGTCAATGGTATTAGCCTCCTCATTTTTACAGATGAGGGAAGTGAGACCCAGAGAAGTTTATCACCTGCCCAAGACCTGGAGCCCAGAAAGGAACGACAGTATTCTGATTCCTGAATCCATATTCTGACAACCAAAGCACTGTTCTACCTCTTGTGAAATTTCTAGGAGAGGGCCCATTCAAGGGAAGGCAGAGAATAAACCAAGGGAAGTCCCTTGTCCAGGAAGACTGTTCCAAGTGCACTTTTTTTTATTCTATTTTCATAACAGTCCAAAGATATTTAAAAATAACAATGGTTCAAAATGATTTCTTTCTAGGTCACTGAGATGCATGTCTGCCTAAAGTTCAGGCTCAAATTTTAGGGCTCCCTCTGTATGAATTATACTGAGAGTCAAAATTTATAACATGTTAAAGTTGGAATAATTTAATTTCATTCATTTATAAATGGGGAAGCTGAGGCTAGAAAACTTGGCATTTGCCAAGTTGTCAGGGGGAATGGAGTAAGGCAGAGATTCCCAAATCTGGCCACACATTAGAAACACTTGAGAAGTTTCTAAAAATATCCATGGTTAGATAGCACCCCAAGAATGTTTGAATCTTTGGAGAAAGTGTGCGGTCCTGGCATTTTGGTTGAGAACCACGTGTGTGAAGAAAAGAAAAATGGACCAACGTTTAGAAGTCTAAAGTTCTATACTTAGGTCTATCGTTAATTCCTTGCCTCTCAGGTTTAATGAAAGATTCAGGTAGCATTTGATTACAATTTACTTACCAAAAATTTAAATTATCTAAATAAAAGGAGTGGCAATAAACTGGCATCTTCACATGATAGAATTTTATGCTGTAATTAAAAATGAAGTTTCTGAGGACTTTGTAAACATAGGATGATGTTTATGTCTAATGTTTAGTACAAAAAGCAGGATACAAACCTCCATGTACATGGTATTTAAAAAAATCTGGGCAAAAGTACAGATGGCAAAAGATGGGAAAGAAACACATGAAAAAACTAATAGGAAAAGGTTGCCTATTCTATTCCAAGTATATGACATTCTGGAAAAGGTAAATCTATGGAGACAGTAAGAAAAAATTAGTAGGTCCTGGGGCTAGGCAGGAGGGAGGGAGGAAGGGAAGAGCACAGAGGATTTTTAGGGCAGTGAAAGTGTCCTGTATGATTATTACAATGGTGGATACGTATCCCTATTCATTCATTCTTTCATTCATTCATTCATTCAAACTCCTAGAATGTACACCACCAAGAGGGAACCCTAATGTGAACCATGGATTTGGGTGATAATGGTGCGTCAGTGAAGGTTCACTGATTATAACACATGTAACTCGTCTGGTGTAGGAGGCTGATGGGGGGGGGTGCGGCAGAGGTGTGTGTGTGGGTGGGTGTTGCCGGGTGGCATTGGCATATGTAGGATCTCTCTGTACTTTCTGCTTAATTTTGCTGTGAACCTAAAACTCTAAAGTTAAAAAAAAAAATAACTGGTGCTATCTTGGCCAATGGAACTATAGGTGATTTACTTCTTCTTTTAATTAAAAAAAACAAAAACCCAAACCAAAACCCATTGAGGGTGTGAGTTCAAGATGAATGAATGCCAACGAGATATTGGGCACGTTCTATCTGACTCAGGCTTGATAGTTTACGTGGAAATACATTTGATCTCAACCTAAAAAGAGGACCCTGCGTTCAGAGGATCAGAATGAACAGTTTGTACTCACCGTCCTTGCAGATGGCGCCCATCTGACATGTCCCTAAGTCTAAGAGATACCCGCTGAGGCAGCTCGTGCAGTTCTTGAACCCCGGACCATTGCATGTCAAACAGGTAGCATCACATCTATGGGGGAAAACGTACAGTTCATGCTTTCACGCATCAGGCGCAAGAAAAGATGTCTGCTATCAGCCTCTTAAGGATGTTTGAAACCTAATTCCCCCTTTGAAGACGACACAGAAACCTCTTCTGACCATAAATGCTACCTTTAACAACATTAAAGAAAGCCCAGCAGGTAGACTGATTTTAAATGGGAGAACACATTGTACTTGAAACCGAAATATTACTTTCCAGGTTTTAAAGTGCTCCTGAGACAAAAACAGAAAAGTACTCAAGAGAAGTTGGGTGAAAGCAGCAGGGGAGGTTTCTGCTTTCAGCTTTCTGATTTGGAAACTTAGGTCATCATTAGTAATTGTTTTGTTTTGTGGAGGCGGTCAAATAAGGAAGCCAGTGATCACGAGCTACGGCTGGAGGGGCGGATCCACTTACTTTTTGCAGGATTTGTATCCGTTCTCTGAAGGGTGATCAAAGTAGTAGCTGAGACTGCAGCTCTGCACGCATCTCCCATCCTCCATGAAGTAGCCTTCTGTGCAGTTAATACACCCGTCAGCACCCGGCCCTGAAAGCAAGACAAATGTGGGAAACAGAAACAAAATCTCAGAGGAGCTTGCACGATGGGCTGCTTCTTGTGTAGTTGGTGGAAAGGGCATGAATAGGTTGTCATGTTAAGAGTCACAATTTCACATTTGTGCTTTCTCTTATGTTCTGTGGGGGAAAAAAACCCGCCCCCATTTTAAATTGAACCCATTTGCCAAAACCATCACATCTCTTTGGAAAGAGGAGGAGATCTCATTGGGATGTTTCAGGGTCGCAATAGGGACAGAATGCCCATGGCTGACTTTCTCTGAGAATCCATGCAGGAGTGCCGGAAGAGATTTAGGTTTCTCCAGCATTTACTTTAACCATATCCGAGGGGTCTGTAGGAGTGATGGCTAACCACAAGTCAACAAACAGCAAACCAGAGCCAGAGGAATAGACAGTAGGACTGGGGGACAAGGTACCAGCGCAGGTGGCACAGAAGCGGTGACAGGGCTGACAGTCCTGGCCATTGAAGTACTGCCCGTCCTCACAGGTGATCGAGCACCGGGATCCCTGCAGGCTGAAGACAGAAACACAGATGCTGTGGTCAAGGCGAAGAGGGCATAGCTCCTCAGCTCCATACACAACAAATAGAGCATCTCCCAGAGACCCGTGGTTTGGCAAAGCTTCAAAGCGGGGGGAAATCGTCCCGTACCCCTTCTTTTTTCCTTCCCCGATGCCTATCCTGCTTCTCTGCCCCTATGATCATGTCTGTAGCTTGTATGCATGCTGCAAGCTTCGTGGACCTTCTTTGCTCTGCACCTTACCCACGCAGGTGTTCCTAAAAGTATCTTACTGACAAAACTCATGACCTAACAATACGTCTGACAACTCTGATAACCAGCCCTATGACATAATAAATTTAAGAGTTGTTTTGTAATTATAAAATGTAGTAGGAACACAGGGTAATGAGTTACATCTGAATAAAGGGCATGATGATCTCTGGCCCGCCCACACTCCCAGGAGTAGGTCCTTTTGTTCTTATTTCTGGTTTTAGTTCTTCTACTGGTTCCCATCAGAACAACACAATTGCCTCTATTTCCTGATTTATTTTAAATGCTAATGAATAATTTCATAAAATGACCTGCCTATACAGCTGATTCCCCAAACACCCCAACTTTTCTTAATTGTATGATTGTTTCCAGGTGTTCTCTCTACCATACTTTATTTGGCACTCTTGGTATCTATTATAGTTGCCAGATGTTGAATGAGGAATGCATATTTTTTCTCCTTTGTAATATCTATCAATTATGATAGCTTTCATAGTGTATAGATCAATTCTTAAAATTAAAAAACACAGAATTTAGGACCTTTAATCTACCAATATTGCTCACTATTGGAACAACAGATTAGCACCTGTAAACCTATGTCACCAAATAGACGATACTACAAGATGGGTCTCTAAGCAACAGGGTCAAATGGTTTTTATTCTCTTAGACTCTTTATATTGCCCTAAGTCACATCTTAGTTGACTGTGCTTTGTATTTGGATCACGCTAACTTGGAAAAGTAAAATTTATTTTTCCCTATTGGAAAGAACAAAAACAGATAAAAACGGATCCCAAAGAGTCCTGTTAACGTTGTAATCCACTTCCTTCCAGTATTTTATATGTATGTATTTCTGTTTGTTCTTAGCCACTCTTGAAAAATGTATAGGTCTCTCGAGGCAAACTGGTCAACCCTCAAAGCCTCTAAGGAAGAGGTAGGCAGTCTCAAGGAGACAGAGGGCAGCTTAACTGAAGGTGTATTCCATTCACAGACTTGACTGGCCAGGGAGCGATGTCATTTAAAAAGCCAATAAAAGAAAATCCCTTCCCTTTCCGTAGAACTGGAAAAAAGGACATTGCATCAAATAGGTCCTTTTGTGGGAGGAAATAGGACCACCAAAAAACTTATCAGTTAAAATTAAAAAAAAAAAAACTGCCTCATTTTTCTAGTACAGGGCATTCCTTCTGAGGTTGGCATGTGTTGAGCATGAGACAGAGGCTGCGCTGTGTAAGGAAGCAATGAATGTAAGTGGGTCCTGCAACAGAGAGCAGGCACTGTGTGCACCCCAAAGCCGCCTGCTGCTTCCAAAATAGAGTGGTGATGTGGCTAACCCTCCTGGTACAGTGGACACCTGCGTTCTGTCTGTGATCAACTGGCTGGGTTAGAACTCTGCTGTCCCACATGTTTCAGCACCCGTGGCTCCTAAGCACTTAAAATGTGGTTAGTGTGGCCCAGGACTGGAATTTTAAACTTTAGTTTGAATTTCAGTCTAAATTTTACAAATTGGCCCTTGGTTCAGTTACTGGCAAAATTCTGAGTAAGTTTAGAAACAACCTGGCTATATAAAATCTACTTTGACTAAATTTTGTAAAATCCAAGTACAGATCAAGTATTTCTCATAAAAAATTACTGTCCAAGTTGAGATGTGCAATGTACTTTCTGGGTTAAAATGCACACCAGATTTCAAAGACTTGGTATAAGAACAAAAAAGAATGTAAAACATCTCGCTAGGTCTTTTATATTGATTATATTTTGAAATGAAAATATTTTGGATATATATGGTTAATATGTTTTTAAATTTTACCCATATCTTTTTACTTCCCTTAATGTGGCTACTGGCATATTTAAAATAAAATGAACATATAGGGCTCTCATATTTCTTTTGGAGAGTGCTGGTTAACGTACTCTGTGAAATGTTCCCTAAGAAACACAGTTGACTTAACTCTTCAACAACATGGGTTTGAAAAACTAAGCGGATTTTTTTTTTTTGATAAATAAAATACAGTACTCTAAATGTATTTTCTTTATAATTTTCCTAACATTTTCTCTTCTCTAGGCTTATTGTAAGAATACAGTATAGAATACATATAACACAAAATGCGTTAATTGACTGTTATTTGTAGAATTTCCAGTCAACAGTAGTAATCAGTAGTTACATAGTTAAGAGTAACTTACGGAGTTAAAAGTTATATGCGATTTTCAACTGTATGAAGTTGTGGCCCCTAATCCCTGAGTTGTGCAAGGGTCAATTGTATAGAAAATATCGTAAATAATCTTTTATTTCTCATGGACCAATTATGTGTCTGATACTGGAAATAAGTACTTTCTAAATGTTATCACAGTTGATCTTTTTCATAATTCAGCAATGTAGGGGTTATTATCTCATTTTATAGGTGACAAAAGTGAAGTTCAGAGTGGCTCAGTGACTTGACCAGGATCCCACAGCTGATTAATAGAAGAGGGTTTGAGCCCACATCTATCTTGTCTCCCTTCTTCTTATTATCTCAATCTGCTCCTTGTCCAAAAAGAATGAGGGGGCTGACTAGACTGATATATATCAAGACTGGAAGTCTTGAGATGCAAGGTGCTTAAGCAGATCAATACTGAATGCATTTATGAAAAAACCCACAGGAAAAAAATATATTAGAACATCATTTTCATTTAGATTAAGATTTTATTTATTAGAGAGAGCAAGCGAGTGAGCATGAGTGGGGAGAGGGGCAGAAGGAGAGGGAGAAGCAGACTCCCCTGGCTCAATCCCAGGACACCGAGGTCATGACCTGAGCCGAAGGCAGATGCTTAGTTGACTGAGCCACCCATGTGCTCCAATGTTCTAGTATTAACTAATATGAAGAAATCACCTGCCTGGAGCCCGTTGAGTTCACCTCTCCAATTTAAGGTGGAAACAGAGGTATTCTCAATACTTAAAAAGATCGGAGTGCTGCAGATTTGTGGCTCTCTGTGAACTCAGGGTCCAACTCCTTACCCACCGGAGGATGGTCTGACCTTCTCTATGGATATCAGGAGGCTACCTAGTTCATTTGAGCCGTGTCTTGTTCTCTGGCAGAATCTATCAGCTATCTGGCTTTTGCAATGAGCAAGTCATCCAGTCAAGAAAAACATCTCCAGGTGTTAAATCTATGAGCATACCAGAGCATAATGGAACCAAGCCTGAGGTACTTAAGATAAGAGGATGATTGGCTATATGGAGAGAAATAATAAAGATAAGGCAAGAGTTTCCGACCATCAAAGGAATGAATCAGGAGGATTAAATATAATTCATTATATTACCTACGCAGTAATCCTTGACAGGGGCACTGCGCTGGTCAAAAAGCACTGAGAAAGCCTCTCAAATAGCCATTTTTATTTATGTGTATCAGAGCCATATTTTCTGAAGAGAATTTCATTTGGTTTATAAACCTCCCTTAGCCAAGATGGCATCCAATTTTTCACATACAATGGTAAAGATAATGCAAATAACAATCAAGTGTTTGAATGGGAGTCAAACCAAGGTGATGGTAAGAGGATTATTTATTTACATATTTCATTTATATTGAGATGCTCCTTGGGCTGTGTGACTTGAAAGCATCCTTCACTCTCTTACCTTAACCCATCCCTACATTCTGTACAGTTGTGGAATTCAGTACATGTCTTGCAGTTTTCACTGCATTTCCGGCAAAGACTTTTCTCTGTTAAAAAACAAAAAAAAACAAAAAAAAAACATACAAATGTAACAAGGTTATAAATCAGTTGGTCAGTTGGATTCCATAAAAGGAGGTGGAGACATTCTAATGTTTGCTAATGTACACGATAGTACACATACATGGCCTTGAGCAGACTATTTTGCAAACAGCCCCGCACAGAACATTTGCTATCACTTTTCAGCGAAGTGAACAGCGGTAGGAACCTGCAGTGATGGGAAATGCCTGATATCTACCAGCCATTTTGCAGACAAGGGAACCACAGCCCATTTAACTCTTAGTCGAATAGCTGACTGGCTTTTTCCCCTCTTCTTTTTCTCTCTCCCAAGGGGGGTTATCTAACTTCCGACAATGACAATCCCACTAACAAAGATGCTGGGGCAATGCCCAGATGTAAAGGTGTAAGCAGTGCTTGGGGCTGTGGAATGGAAAGGTGGGCCCCCATGCTCACAGCTTGTAGGACCACTCTGATGAACACAGCCAGAAAAGGGAATCTGCATTTACGATGGCAGGGTAAGGGTTGATGATGTATTTCTTGTATTGTCTAGAATAGTGTCGCATACTTTATAGTGGCTGTGACATTGATATGTTATTATAGTTTAGATAATGTCTGTATTCAGGAGAATAGAAATATATGGATTGAAACAAATATACCATGAATATGGTTTTCCTGTTTAATACCAAAGACTGATCCCCATTGGAAAAAAATGGCAAATGCATGCTTACTCTATAGTGAAAAATGGTGATTTGTTACATTAACTCAAGGCCTTTTACCTGAGGCAAAATTCTTCTGGAGACTTGATACCTTCTCTGAGGTGCAAGTGGATTATAACCACATATATGTGTAGGATTGAATAAGCTTTGTTCATAGGCTTCTCTTCCTCCATCTACTCTTTATATTTTGGCGTTCTTCAAGGTTCCATAGAGGAACACTGCTTTAATGGATTCCTATAGGGACCTCTTGAAGGTCCACTTCCTTTCTCAAGTCCCGAGCACCCCCACCCACCATGAAATATGAAGTCCTTTATAATCTTATGGTAGTCTTCAGATGGTCCCCTCCTCACTCTGCCGTTCAGACTCCTGGACATGGCATAGGATCTGAAGTCCAAGGACCTAGATTTGAATTCCGCTTTTAGCATTTCCAGTGGGCAAGTTCAGGGTCAATAGATATTTCAGTGATGCCAACCTCTCAGTTTGTCTTGAGGGGATAATGAAATTACTCAGGGGAACTATATGAACTTGAAAGTACTGTAAATGTGTTGGCAGTAATTATTACTTGTCATGATTATATCTGATCACTATGTTTTCAGGAGGAAAATATAACAAAAGTCAGTTACACGGAGGAGAGAGAGGCAGAGACAACTCGTATCAGCAAAGCCATTGTTTGAACAGCCTTCCTTCACTGCATACCTCCCAGGCTCTGGGGAAACAACTGAGTCTCAATTATCTTGATCCTGTTATATACCATCTCGAACCAAATTTCTTTTCTGAGATTCAGCCTTCTTGATAGAATTTTGAATTTTTTTCTTCAAGAAATACTGCTTATTTCCGGGGATCCCTCAGACTCCCCTCCCCAATCTTTCTCTATCAGGCTGTAGCTCATGTTCCAAATTTGGGGGAAAAAGGAACTACAAGGAAATCCTACCCACGGATCTATAGGGTAAACTGAGACTCCATCTGCCTCGTGGAGAAATGCCTGCCTTCGAGTCAAGGGACTTGGACTTCCTAAGAAGCAACAGTATCCACTTCAAAATTCTTGCCTGATTTCTGAAAAACAACTCTTGTTCATTTAAACTTGGGTTTTCTTCTTTCTTAGGTTGTGCCGAAACAGGAGATAATCAGTGTCATCATGTATTATGGTGTGACACACTTGTTAATTACCGAGAATTCAGAAATAAAGGAAAAGGGCGCTACCAGAGCACTAACAGGTAGGAATGCCCAAGGATTACTTAATTCTCCAGGGAATATACCTTTTGTCTGTTTCCTAATGACGACTGATTAGGGCCAAACTCCGCGAAGTGACGTGTTCATTTACAGATTTTTGTTTGGTACAGTTGGAAAGGATTTCTGTGTGGAAAAGGCCCCCCAAATTCAATTTGTATTGCCATGTAGGAAATTATTCATTTCTTAACTGAAGTATAAAAAACAATGTTATATTAGTTGGAGATATAGAATATATTGATTTGACGATTCTATGTATTACTCAGTGTTGACCATGGTAACTGTAGTCCCCATCTGTCACCATGCAATGGTATTACAGTATTATGGACAATATTCCCTAGCTGTACTTTTCATCTCTGACTTCCTTATTTTATAACTGGAAGTTTGTACCTCCCCTTTATCTTTTTTGCCCGTCCCTCCACCCACCTCTGTTCTGGCCACCACCAATCATTTTCTGTGTTTTAAGAGTCTATTTTTTGTGTGTTTGTTAGCTTCCACATACAAGTGAAATCCTGTGGTATTTGTCTTTCTCAGTCTGATTTATTTCACTTAGCGTAATACCCTATAGCTCCATCCATGTAGGCACAAATGGCAAGATCTCACTCCCTTATATGGCTGGGTAATATTCCACTGTGTGTGTGTGTGTGTATACACCACATCTTTTTCTTTTTCTTTCTTTTTTTTTTTTTTACAAGTTTTTAATTCCAATATAGTTAATATACAGTGTTATATTAGTTTAAGGTGTATAATATAGTGATTCAGCACTTCTCTATATCACCCAGTGCTCATCATGACAAGTGTACTCCTTAATCCCCATCACTGGTTTCACTCACCCTCCCACCCCGCTCCCCTCTGGTAACTATCACTTTGCTCTCTATAGTTAAGAGTCAGCTTCTTGGTTTGTCTCTTTTTCCTTTGATCATTTGTTTTGTTTCTTAAATTCCACATGTGAGTGAAATCCTATGGTATTTCTCTTTCTCTGACTGACTTATTTCACTTAGCATTATATTCTCTAGCTCTATCCATGTTGTTGCAAATGGCAGTATTTCATTCTTTTTAATGACTAACACTCCATTGTGTGTGTGTGTGTGTGTGTGTGTGTGTGTGTGTATGTGTATGATGAACGGATAATCCTTCTTTATCCATCCATCTATCTATGAACGCTTGGGTTTCTTGTATACCTTGGCTATTGTAAATAATGCTGCAATAAACATAGGGGTGCATATACCTTTTTTACTTAGGATTTTTGTATTCTTTGGGCAAATACCCAGTACTGGAATTACTGGATTGTAGGGTATTTCTGATTTTAATTTTTTGAGGAACCTCCATCCTCTTTTCCAGAGTGGCTGTACCAGTTTACATTCCCACCACAGTGCCTGAGGGTTCTCTTTTCTTTACATCCTCGCCAACACTTGTTACAATTTCTTGTTTCTTGATACTGACTGCCGTCCGTTCTTGATAGCTATTCTAAAATGAGTGAGGGGATATCTCGTTGTGGTTTTGATTTGCGCTTCCCTGATGAGTGATGCCGAACATCTTTTCACATGTCTGTTGGCCATCTGTATGTCTTCTCTGGAAAAATGTCTCTTCAGAACCTCTGCCCACTTTTTTTATCACATTGTATTTTTGGTGTTGAGTTGTATAAGCTCTTTATATATTTTAGATATTAACCCCTTAGCAGATACATTGTTTGCAAGTATCTTCTCCTATTCACTAGGATGCCTTTTTATTTTGTTGGTTTTCTTTACTGTGAAAAAGCTTTTCATTTTGGTCAAGTCCCAATATAGTGTATTTTTGCTGTTGTTTCTTGTGCCTGAGGAGACCTATACATAAATATGTTGCCAAGGGCAATGTTCGAGAGATTACTGCCTATGTTTTCTTTTAGGATTTTTATGGTTTCAGGTCTCACATTTAGGTCTTTAATCCATTTTGAGTTTATTTTTGTGTATGGTTTAAGAAAGTGGTCCAGTTTCATTCTTTTGCATGCAGCTGTCCAGTTTTTCCCAACACCATTTATTGAAGAGATTGTCTTTTCTCCATTGTATATTCTTGCTTCCTTTGTCATAGGTTAATTGACCAAATAGATGTTGGTTTATCTCTGGGGTTTCTATCATGTTCCATTGATCTATAGGTCTATTTTTGTGACAGCACTATGCTGTTTTGATTACTGTACTTGTAGCATATCTTGAAACCTGGGATTGTGATACCTTCAGCTTTGTTCTTCTTTCTCAAAATTGCTTTGGCTATTCAGGGTCTTATGTGGGTCTTACAGATTTTAGGATTATTTGTTGCAGTTCTGTGAAAATGCTTTTGGTTTTTGATAGGGATTGTGATAAATCTGTAGATTACTTTGGGTAGTATGAATGTTTAACAATATTCTTCCAATCCATGAGCATGGTGTATTTTTCTACTTGTTTGTGTCATCTTCAATTTCTTTCACCAGTGTCTTATAAGTTTTCAGAATATAGGTCTTTCACCTCCTTGATTAAATTTATTTCTAGGTATTTTACTCTTTTTGGTGCAGTTACAAATGAGATTGTTTGTATTCTTAATTTCTCTTTCTGCTACTTCATTATTAGTGTATAGAAATACAACAGATTTCTGTATATTAATTTTGTATCCTGAAACTTCACTGAATTATCAGTTCCAATAGTCTTTTGGTGAAGTCTAGCATTTTCTATGTATAGTATCATGTCATCTGCAGATAGTGACAGTATTACTTCTTCCTTACCAATTTGGATGTCTTTTATTTCTTTTTCTTTTCTGATTGCTGCAGCTAGAATTTCCAATATTTTGTTGAATAAAAGTGGTGAGAGTGGACATCCTTGTTTTTGTCTTAGAGGAAGAGTTCTCAGTTTTCATTATTGAGTATGATGTCGGTTGTGGGTTTGTCATATATGGCTTTTATTATGGTGAGGTATGTTCCCTTTACCCCACATTGTTGAGAAGTTTTAACATGAATCCATGTTGTATTATGTCAAATGCTTTTTCTGCATCCATTGAGATTTTTTTTTTATTCTTGTTTATGTGATATCATACTGATTAGTGAATAGTGAACCACACTTGCGTCTCTGGAATAAATCCCCCTTGATCATGCTAAATGATTTTTTTAATGTACGTTGAATTCAGTCTGTTATTCTTTTGTTAAGGATTTTTGCATCTTTGTTCATCAGAGATATTGGCCTGTAGTTTTTTTTTCTTTAAAAGTTTTTATTGTTATGTTAATCACCATACATTACATCATTAGTTTTTGATGTGTTCCATGATTCATTGTTTGTGTATAACACCCAGTGCTCCACGCAGAACGTGCCCTCTTTAATACCCAGGCCTGTAGTTTTCTTTTTACATAATGTCTTTGTCTGGTTCTGGAATCAAAGTAATGCTGGCCTCATAGGTGAATTTAGAAGTTTTACTTCCTCTTTTATTTTTTAGCATCATTTGAGAAGAATAGGTATTAACTCTTATTTAAATGTTTTGTAGAAGTCACCTGTGAATCCATCTGGTCCTTGATTTTTGTTTGGAACTTTTTGACTGCTGATTCAATTTCATTACTAGTAATTGGTCTGCTCAGATTTTCTATCTCTTCCTGATTTAGTTTTGGAAAATTATATGTTTCTGGGAATTTATCCATTTCTTCTAGATTGTCCAATTGTTTGGCAGATAATTTTTCAACATTTTCTTATAATTCTTTGTATTTCTGTGATATTATTGCTCCTCCTTCATTTCTGACTTTGAGTCTTCTCTCTTAAGTCTGGCTGAAGATTTATCAGTTTTGTTTATCTTTCCAAAGAACCAGGTCTTTGTTTCATTGATCTTTTTTTTTTAAATTTCATTTATATCTGCTCTAATCTTTATTATTTCCTTCTACTGGCTTTGGACTTTGTTCTTCTTTTTCTAGTTCCTTTAGGTTTAAGGTTAGGTTCTTTATTCTTTAATATGATATTTTTCTTGTTTCTTGAGGTAGGCCTAATAGCACTATAAATTTCCCTCTTAGAACTGCTTTTGCTGATTCCCAATAGATTTTAGACTATTGTCTTTTTGTTTGTTTCCATGAATTTTTGATTTCATGTTTTTTTTTTTTCCATTGACCCATTGGTTAATTAGTAGCATGTTGTTTAACCTCCATGTATTTGGCTTTTTTTTTTCTTCCATTTTTCTCTTGTAATATTGATTTGTAGTTCCATACCATTTAAGTTGGGAAACATGCTTGATATGATTTCAATCTTCTTAAATACAGTGAGACTTGTTCTATGGCCTAACATGTTATGTGTACCAGAGAATGTTTCATGTGCACTTGAAAAGAATGTGTGTTGCTGCCCTGAGTTTTGTTCTTTTTTTCCACTTCCATTTGCATGGTTTATGTTTTTTCATCCCTTCACTTTCAGTCTGTATGTGTCATTATGTGTGAAGTGAGTCTCTTGTAGGCAGCATATAGCTGGGTATTGTTTTCTTACTCATTTACCATATGTCTTTTGATTGGAGTATTTAGTTTATTTACATTTAAAGTAATTATAGATAGGTACTTATTGCCATTTTGTTAATTGTATTGATTGTTTTTGTAGTTCTTCTCGATTCCTTCCTTTTTCTCTTGCTCTCTTCCCTTGTGGGTTGATGATTTTCCTTAGTGATATGGTTGGATTCCTTTCTCTTTTTTGTGTGTGTATATCACAGGTTTCTGATTTGTGGTTACCACTGGGTTCTACATTGAGTTGAGGGTCACTTAAGTTCAACACATTGTAAAACTACTAAAAGTAACTCCCACCTCCATGTTTTATGTATGTGATGTTTTATATCTTTTTATTTTGTGTCTCCCTTGGCTAATTTTTCTAATTTTGATTGTACTACTTTGTAAGTTTTAAACTCCACAGTGGCTTTACTCTATGATTGCCTTTTACCTGTAAAATTTTTCTCCTTTTATAATTTTTTTTTTCTAGCGATGGCCTATTCTTTCCATTTAAAGAATCCCCTTTAACATTTTTTGTAAGCCTGATTTATTGGGATGAACTCCTTTAACTTTTGTCAGGAAAACATTTCTCTCCTGTTTTGAATGATATACTTTCTGGGTAGAGTATTCTTGGTTGTAGGTTTTTTTGTTTGTTTTAGCACTTTGAATATAGCATGCTCCTCCCCTCTGGCCTGCAAAGGTTCTGCTGAAAATCAGCTGATTGATTGCCTTATTTGGCTTTCCTTTTATCTTTACTTTTTGCCATTTTAATTATTATGTGTCTTGGTGTGGACCTCCTTGGGTTCATCTTGTTAGGGGTTCTTCTTCCTGGACCTGGATGTTGCTTCTTTCCCCAGGTTAGGGAAGTTTTCAGCCCCTTCTTCTCCTGCTGGGATCCCTATAATGTGCATGTTACTATGCTTGATGATGCCACAGAGTTCCCTTAACCTCTCTTTTCTTGTTGTTCAGCTGAGTTGTTTTCCATTACCGCCTTCCATATCACTGATCTGTTCTTCTGCATCTTCTGGTCTACTATTGATTCCATTTAGCGTATTTTTATTTCAGTTATTAAATTCATCAGCTCTGACTGGTTCTTTCTACATTTTCTGTCTCTTTGTTGAAGGTCTCACTGAGATCCTCTGCTCTTTTCTCAAGTCTAGTGAGTATCTCAGTGATGATAATTTCTTTGAATCGTCTATCACACATATTTTCATTTCATTTGGGACATATTCCTCTGTCTCCTCATTTTGTCTCTGTTTTTAATGTAGTAGGACAGTCAGCTATGTCCCCTGGTCTTGAAAGTAGTGGCCTTGTTGTCAAAAGAGGTCCTGTGGTGTCCTATAGTGCAATCACCCCCTGGTTACCAGAACCAGGCACTCCAGGGGTGTCCTCGGTGTGGGCTGTGTGTGCCTCCCTATTGTGGCTGAGTCACAACTGCCTTCAGCCCAGCCAGCCGCAAGGATCCCCTCTCCCTGCTCCGAGTGTCCTGGGTAGAGTTGAGGGCCAGTCTGAAGCAGTGACAGGCTTGGTGAATAGGGGCGCAGTGGCAGGCTTGGTGAATTGGGCCAGCAGTGAGCCCAGCTGTCTGCAATTAGTCCCTCTGTGTAGATACAGCTACAGGTACACTGAAGGGCAGGGCTTGCTTCTTGCCCAGCCAGCTATGAGGCTTGACCGCAGGGACTGCAAGTATGCTGTTATAGGGTCTTCTCTCCTCGCTCCCCAGGGCATGAGTCACTTTGGAGTGGCACCCTCCAAGTGGGTATGGTGGGACAGGAGCCACTCTGAAGGGAGGACTGCTGAGTTGGGTTGGATGGAGAAGAGCACACAGTGCTATAGCAAAGTAGATGGAGAGTGTTAGCGCTACCTGTCACAAACATCCAGCTATCTAGGCCTTGGGGCGGGGAGGGGGAGGAGGAATGGCACCTACCAGCACTTTTGTTTCTAGAGAAATATCCTGTACATCCCTGCCTGGGGACAGATCTAATCTGCCCAGGACAGATTAGTCAATATATCTCCTTCACATATAACCGCAGGCACTTTTCAAACTGCTGCATCTTTAAGGATGATGGAGACTCAGTTTCCTATTGCCCTCGGGCTCTCCTGGAACTAAGCCCCACTGGAGTGAAGATCTGTTTCTGAAGTCAGATATTAGGTGGACTCATCTTCCTAGTGCTGGGGTTGCCTAGGGTGGAATCAGATCCTCGTGCTTCCCCATGCGTGTGATGTCCCTCCTGTTTGTGGTTAGTGGCACAGGGGTTTGGTTTCCAACTATGTCTCCATCCTACCTACCCTTTTCAAGGTGCCCTTCTCTCTACAATTAACTGTGGCAGGTCTGTTCTGCCAATCTTCAGGTGGTTTATCTCAATGTGTCTGAGGGATAAGGTGAGTTCAGGATCCTCCTACTCTAAACTTGGCAAATGGATTACATTTTGCCTTTCCTAGTGGACTGGAATACCTGATAGTCTTTGAATCCATTTATCACTTTATAGGTTTCCTCATTAATGGCCCTTCATTAGTAGTCTTTGACACACGTCTATTCCACATTCACACTGAAGTCATGTTTTCTAAACTTTCTGAAGAGTAACACTGATACCATACAGGCCTGCTTCCTTCGGGTCGTGTGTAGAAAAGAGCAGGCTCGGCTGCTATCTTTTGAAAGCCTGCTTCTGAAGCTGGTCCATGGCTAGTACCTGGGAATTGGATTTTAGGAGGGTTTCCACCACCCTAACTGGTGAGAGTGGCTCCTGGTGCCTCAACTGTACAAACAATATGGTTTATACCGAACATCTGCTTTCCTTGGGAGCCTGGAATTTTGGTATGTGCCAGGGAGAGGGGGTCTTTGTGACCACAACCCTGGGCACTGAGACTCTAAGGAGGTTCCCTGGTAGCCTACATTTCACACATGTTGTAACCAGTTGTTGCTGGGGGATTTCAATGCATCCTGGGAGAAAACTTAGAAGCTAGTGCTGGTTTTCTGTGGACTCTGTCCTATGTACCTTTTCCTGATTTTATTTAGTAACTATGAGCTCATGAGTGCAACTATATAGTAAGTCTTGTGGGTCCTCCTAGCAAATCACTGACTCTGGGGATGGGCCTGAGGACTCCCTGACAGTTAGTTACAAGCGTTTTTACATAATTTTTTTTTTTTTTTTACAAAAACTGTTAAAATTCTAATGTGTTCTCTTAAAAACTGGTTAGATCCTTTGATATAACCAAGGCCTCAATTTCCCTCCTAAGGTCATCAAATGAAAACCTTCTATTTCCTCTCTAAAACCCAAATATTTGAAATCAACTCACTGGTGTCCGGGTATGATCCATCAGGGCACTGGATAACACAGCTGTTGATTTCTTCATTTAGGAAGTATCCATATTTACAGGACAGGCACTGGTCACCATGGCTTCCAAAGCAGGACTCACAGTTGGGGGCACACTTTCTGCATCGCTTCTTGTCAGCATGGTAGTGGCCAGAGGGGCAGCTGGAGACACAGATCCTGCATTGTGGAATGGTAAGAAAGAAGGACAGCATCATTGGAAACAGAGTCCCGGGCATTCTTGGTAGATGCTCAAGCAAGAGCAGCCTTCCATCTTAAACCCCGATGGTAACACCATATCCAAAGAGCCAAATTCTCTGTGTAGGGTTCTGAAGTGGCAAGGTGGCCACCCAATACCAAGTCTGCCAAGTAATGCATGTCTTGGTCCAAACCCCATCTTCCGGTTCGGGACTAGCTCTTTAAAGGGGACAATGGTTAGAAACTAGAGGCTCAAGAGGAAAGGTTGTGGCATGGGGTTGAAAGGAAACTACGTGGGAACCACGATTTTATACAAAAAAGGTTGCTAATAAGGGGTTACTTCTGTTTTCGTGTGTTGTCCTATGGATCCTGTGTGCTAGGGGCTGTATGCTATTGTCTAAGTTAATCGATTTAAACTTGGTTGGTTATGATACATTTAAAAAAAAAGAACTTCCTTAACTGAAGGACAGCACTTTGTTTATTCATTCAACAAATATTTACTACTGAGTACCAAGTAAAATGTCAGGCATTTTGCTGGGCTCGGCGATGAGAGGTCCTGCAGTAGCCAAGGGCCCTTCCTTTAAGGAACAGAAATTCCAGCATGCATGTAAACAGGAACTAGAATGGGTCTGGGTCTGTCTGGATGGCTGAAGTGTGGACTCACTGCAGTAGGACGGAAAAGGGGGCAGGGCTCTGAGAGAGATGCCTGGAGCGGACAGCCTCTGAGGGGCCATCACTGTCCCAGGAGCCTCCCTGCAGACAGATGAGCACACCTTGAGGCAGAAGCCAGGGGCTGAGAGTTACGGTGACCAAGCAGGTCCGCCTCAGTGCCCAGAGTGAAATAGGATGAGCAGGGCCCACCACCTTTGCACACGGGAACGCAGGGATGCATCTGTTGGGCTGGATGCTGGCATTTTCATGAAAGGCAAACAGAGCTCTAGCATCAAACATTCATGGGATGGAAAGGTCTAGAGGGCTAGTCCAAATGCGAGCAAAGACAGTTGCAGCTTGACAGCATACAGCATATGGGTTTCAGCATTTGGAATGACACTGGGAGGCAGGGGCTGGCCAGCAGCCTCTGTTCTGTGCTTGGGTCCTGGTAGGAGAACATCACCAGACGCCGCTCGAACACAGCTCGAGCGCAGCCCGTGGGACCACCTGGAGCATGCTGCGGGGTGGGGGGGCGCGGGGATTGGACTCAGGATCCTTCTTACCTGGTGTTGTTTTTCAGTTTATAGTAGTAGTTTAAGCAGTCACTGCAGTGGTCTGGTCCTGGCCCATCACAACCGACCTCACTGCACTCAGGGTCACAGGGACCTTTTCCAAAAAAACACAAAAAAACAAAAAAACAAAAAAAACTTGGGAAAATATGATTTTAAAGCAGGTCTATTTTAACTTGAATTTTTCCTTCCTTATGCAGTGAGAGTTTCTTTAAGGTGGAGGAATAATGTGTAACATGGCTCTAAGCATGGAGATGAACTCCTATTACCGAAGTATCAAGAATGTAAATCCAGCCGTGGCTTGGTCTTCAAAAAAGCACATACGGCTGCCTTGTGGGAGATGATAACACATATCTCCGAATTCAAAGGAACAATGCCACTCTGGCAACTGGAAGAGAACTGATGGCAATTAAATATGCATAATGATAAAAATGTCGGATTTACAGAAAAATGACAAGTTAAGCTGTTGACAGAAAAAAGAAAAAAGTTTATTATTCCATGCCTGGACCAGATTGTCTGGCTTGCCGATGGTCATTAAAACCACGGAATACCTCTGAGATGCTGTAGCCAGCAAGAAACATCATTATGGCATCTGGTGCAAGCTTATCAGTATCTGGTCTTGGATTACAAAGCAGGTACTTAAGGCATAGATAATAGATTTTTTTAAAATTTAATTTGATTTATGTTAGTCACCATACAATACAGCATTAGTTTTTTTGATGTAGTGATCCACGTGGTGGGACACAATTTTAAAATCTAATAGATTTTAAGGGCAGTGGAAAACTCAACAAAAGAAAGCGAGACAAATTTTTAAAAATGCAAGCAAGCTTAAAGAATTCCAGACCTAGGATGAAAGTTGCTAATCTCTCATGACATATTCTTTGGTCTAGAGTTAGAATGTACAGACGGGAAGAAAAAAATGCCAGAAAGATGGGAGATTTTTATAATTGATGAAAAGCTTTCTAAGGACATGGGCTAGACCTTTTGCTTGCTTGAACTAACTCCCTTTTTCCTTGTTCTCCATACTTTAGGACATTTGGTCTTGTAATCTTCAAGCCCTTTCCTGTTGAAAATACACATGATTTTAAGTAATAAACATGCACAGAATGTACAAACATTAAGTTATGTCAGAAATGTCTGAACCATACTGATTTGAATCAAAAGGATTTACTTGATCTTGAAACTTGATCTCCTTTAGTCATTATAGGATTCTGTTCTACAGTTAGAGTCGGAATATAAAATGGTAGAACCTGGGAGGAATGACTTGGAGAAAAGACTAGTATTCAAACACCCTCATTTACCTGGTGAGAAAACATACTTTCCAAGAATTAGAGTGGCTTGTCCAAATAATACAGCCCAGGAGCCCTGGGATCAACATGGGTCCCCCTTCTTACTCCAGCTCTCCTACATAGAAGTAGTAAATCAGGTACTAGCGATGACCTTTCAAAATGAATACAGACTTGAGATATATTTCTGACAGCACTGTTTCTCTCTTTGTTCCCCCAAGCCTTAAAACTGATCTCTAAATTCCACAGTGAGTATAACTTGGGACCTTTCAGCTCTCTGCTACGATAGAGGAGAGGGTGTCTCTGTATGTAAGGGTTGGAGCTCAGCCAGCTGTGGGTCCTACAGCCCCTGGAATTTGATGCAACAGTACTAGGGATCTGGTTATGCTAATACCATCTGTGCCTTTAGCCAGGCTGACTTCTTCATGAAGGTGAAAATCACAGCTCTGAAGAAAAGGAATCATGGGTGGCCCTAAATTTTCACCAGATGATTTCTGCAATTAACGCCCCCCCCCCCCAAATTATGCTTTATACGTGCCAAAGGGCTCCGTATGGCCAGTTCACATGCCGTGCTGTTTCTTTTATAATCTTAACCTGTCCCAGATGCAATTTAGCATTTTAGGTTGCAGGGTAATAATGAAATAATTGTCTTTGTTCTCTCACAAGTGCCAATGTGGACATTTTGGAGATGTTAACAGGAAAAAACACGGAGATAAGAGAACCGTTTGTTCAGAATTTTAAGATTACCAAAATGTGAATTAGAAACCTACCAGAAGGCATATAGCAACAGGCTAGTAGGCTCAGTTTATGTTTTTGGATATCCTTTCTCCTATCAGAGAAGATGAAATGGTTTGCTCGTTATAATGTGAATAGTAATGTTACAAGCTCAAAACATAATGAGATAATCTAACACGATCGAGCTCAGTTGGCTCAACTGGTTTGAATTATTCCAGCTTAGGATGGACTCTGGGATACTATCTGTTTAGAATAAAAGGAACCATGTGCATGTTTAAGATATTCTGCTAAGGTGACTAATGAAGTACTTTTATCTTTAGCTCATTAAGTGTTATGTCATATCCCAGGAGCACTGAATGCTCCTTTAAGTGGTAGTCAGTGGAACAAGACACGTACTGCATGGAGCGCTGGGTGTTATACAAAAACAAAGAATCGTGGATCACTACATCAAAAACTAATGAAGTACTGTGTGGTACCAGAAGAGACCCTGGTGTAAGAATTTATTCTATTATAAAGGAAAGATCCTGGGGCACCTGGGTGGCTCAGTTGGTTAAGTGTCTGCCTCTGGCTCAGGTCATGATCTCAGGGTCCTGGGATTGAGCCCAGCATCTCCTTCTCCAATAAATATTTAAAAATGAAGGGAAGATCCTAAACTAGTAAAAGAAGGGATGATGACCCAGCCAATAATGTTAGTCTATTTATTTTATCTCCTACTATATAAACCAAAATAAGTTAGATGAATGGCCAAATGTAAAAAGCAGAGATTAGAAAAAAATGCATGTGGATATTTAGTTGATTTTAAAGACTAAAACTTCTTAAAGAAGATCTGAAACTATAAACCCTGACCTCCAATTTTCTTTTTCCATCAAAACACAAAACAAAAACTACATTTTGGAAGCAAGCAATAACTGAGGGAATGGTTTCAGCAAATACAGTAGTTCTTCCTCCCACTTATCTGCAGGGGATACTTTCCAAGCCCCTCAGTGGATGCCTGAAACCATGGATAGTACCAAACCCTATATATACTATGTCTTTTTCCTATACATACATACATACCTGTGATAACATTTAATTTTTAAATGAGGCACAGTGAGAAACTAATAACATAGAACAATTATATCAATATACTATGATGAAAAGATGTGAATATATGTGAATGTGGTCTCTCTCAAATCTTATATGGTATTTATCTGACTTCTTGTGACAGTGTGAGATGCTAGAATGCCTACAGGATGAGATGAAGTCAGGGGAATGACGTGGGCGTGGTAACGTAGCATTATGCTACTACTGACCTGACGATCTAGCAGATGGAAGATCATCTGCTCCCTGTTAATAATGGGATACTACTTAGTAGTAGTAGTATTACTACTAGGAAACCACAGATAAGGGGGAACTACTGTATGGAAAAATGTGAGAGACAATAACATACAAAGAGCTCTTATAAGAAAATTGGTGTCAATTTGAATAGAAAAATAAAAAGTAAATAAAAAGTAAAAAAAAAAAAGTAAAATACAGTTATGCTTAATTCCTAGAACTACAGAGGAAAACATGATTTACTAATAAAGCTATAAAAATTTTAAAATGTTCTGTTCTTTTATTTTTCAACTTTTTTCTTTCCATTCAATTTTGGCATGAATGAGTATAATAAATGCACAGCTGGTCACAGCATAGACTGGTATATCTTGTCTGGAAAGGATTGTGACAAAGTGTGTCCAAGCTCTCAAACTGATTATTCCCTTTGCTGCAGTAATTCTCAGAACTCCATTCTAAGGAAATAATTAAAGATATAAACAAAGACTGATAAAATAATGATGTTCATCCAAACCTTATTTAAAATAGTGTAAAATTCCAAGCAAACTACACATCCCAGCTTATGTGTTAAATGTAGTACAATCATAGGATGGACTGTTAATATCGTTGTGAGGATATGTGACAACAGGGAAATATGCTCTTAATACCCACAAGAGAAAGAAAAAGGATATGGAAACTCTGTATAGTGTGCTTTTGTCTTTGAAGAAAACAGTGCTATCTGAATATACACATGCAAATATTTGGGGGGATAGAAAAGAAGATGGAAGAAACTGTATCAGGATATCGGTAGAAGTTGATCTCTGCATGGTGGGGTGATGCACGAGAGTTCTCTCCTTAGCCTGTGTCCCTGTTGGAAACCAACTTACCTGCATAATCCTCGGTACCATAGTCATCGGTGGGGTCTTCTACTCGGCTATAGCGGACACGTTCTACTTTAGGAAACTCATTAGTTGGTGAGTATGGCTGCACGGAGGTGCCATAGAGGACCAAAGACCATTCTTTCAATTTCCCTTGAAAAACAATAATGAAATGATAGCATGACCACACATTCCCTCCTGAGCTTTACAATTTAATTCCTTCTCATTAAGAAAAAGCAACAGAAGAATTGTGGCAAGCATATTCATATTAATCATAGCATGAGGTGCATAGCTAGAAATGTACATTTTCCACCAGTTGAAGAATTAACTAATAATTGACATATCACATATTTACTGAGCACCAACTATAGGAAAGCCTTAATCAGCTTTTATAAGAAGACCGAGAAATGAACCGCTCTCAGCTGGATCAAGGGCTGAATTTCAAATTATGGATATTTTAAAAGAGAACCCCAGAATTTTACAGAGGCCTCTGCTTTTCTACATATAAATACTATATTTGAATTTTTTAAAAAAATTTGGTGTTATCTGACTTATCACTAAGACAAAACAATTACTTTGTTCCACCTAACTGAATTAGTCATTTAGTCTTAAGAATACATCACTATTTATACTATGCTATAGACCTGAGCTGTCCAGTGATAGCCCCTAGACATTTGGCTATTGAAAATTTAAAAATTTAGTTCCTCAGTCATACCACATTTCAAGTGCTCAATAGCCATATGTGGCCAGTGGTCACTACAATGGATACCACCAATACAGTGTTTCTACCACGGCAGAAGGTTCGAGTGGACAATGCTGCAATAAAGCTTTGTCTGGTCAAGGGTGCCTTGAGTGAGACAGGAGCCATGTGTTTTAACTCCTTTGCAGAGAAGGTTCTCAAAGAACATTTTGCTTTAGTCCTTCTTTCTTTTTGTGTTGATAAAGCTAAGAAAAACTTCTTACAGGTCACTAAGCTTAATAAGATTCACATAAAGAATCAACCATAAGCAGAAGTGATTGAAACAAAACCATTAAAAACATGGAAGTATGCTGGTAGGAAGCAGAACCTTCCTGAAGGTCCTTCCTCCACTTAGCCGAATACAGAGAATCTAGACCTGGTTGGGGCCAGGGTTCTGTCACAGCACTGAGAGTGGTGAACTTGAGGTGTCAGCTGATCTATTAAGTTTGAATCCATTCAATGTTCACAACAATTGGGAGGTAGGTACTTGAATTCCCAATATATAGATGAGGAAACAGGCATAGAGGGTGATAATTTTCTCAAAGGCACTAAGAGTACAGACTGCTATTAAAACCCATCTGGGGGTTCCAGTTTAAGATGACAGCGTATGAAGATCCTGAACCCACCTCTTCCTACAGACTCACTGAATCTACAGCTACATAGGGGACAAGTTCCTCTGAACAAGAAAACAAAACCAATAGGCTGAGTGGCTCCTACACAATAGGCAAACAAAAAACCCACAGGAAAGCAGGTAAAAGAGGCCGAGACACAATATTGCAATAAACCCCACCCCTGGCACTGTGACCCATAATCAGGACTCACAACCCCAAAGTTTCTCCCCAAGAAGCAAAAGCTTTGAACCCCACATTGGGTACCACAATTTTTAAGACCTGCTCCTGAGACGAGTCCCCACAACATCTAGCTTTGAAAACCAATAGGGCTTGAGACCCACAAGGCTATAGTGAACTGACTAAAGAGCTTGCATGTGTGGACCCACCCACTCCAAGGCTAGGCCAGAGGCAGCCAATTGAAAAGCATGGACTTTCTGTGAAAGAGGCTTATTTGCTTACTGTAACATACAGCTAGGGGCCTACTGAAATACTCTCCAGTGGGCACCATCTTTGCTCTCTCCCTCAGTCTTGCTCCAACTCACTAGTATCTCCCAGAAGGAACCTGTTCTCTCATCTGGGACCCCAATTTTTATGGCTGCCTCTCAGGGCACACCTCTTGGCTGTTGGCACTGGTGGTCGGCAGGGCTTATGTTTACTGGTAACACAGGACTGTAAACTAAATTGACAGATCTATTCTTAAGCTCACCCAGGAGAGAGAATCAAAATCAGAAATGAAAGAAGAAGGGGGCAACTAGGTGGCTCAGTTGATTAAGCATCCAACTCGATTTCAGCTCAGGTCATGATCTCAGGGTGGTGAGATGGAGCCCCACTTTGGGCTTCATGCGGAGCGTGGAGCTTGCTTAAGATTCTCTCCCTCTGTCCCACCCCCAGCTCATACACTCTCTCTAAAAAAAAAAAGAAAAAAGAAAAAAGAAAAAGGTGAGGTTATAACTAAAATAAGAATAAAAACCATGAAAATATAAAGTATTATAAAAGACTATCATCAATTACACACCAACAAAATGAACAACCTAGAAGAAATGAGAAATGGATAAATTTTTAGACCTATACAACCCACTAAGACTGAATCATTAAGAAACAGAAAATCTGAAAAGAACAATTACTAGTAAAGAGATGGAATCAGTAATAAAAAAAAGAAAACCCTCTCAACAAAGAAAATAACCAGAACTACATCTTCTCTGGTCAGTTCTACCAAATATTTAAAGGAATACCAGTCCTTCTTAAACTCTTCCAAAATATAGAAGAAATATTTCCAAACTCATTTTATGAGGCTAGCTAGCATTACCCTGATCCCAAAACCAGATAAAGATGCCACAGAAAATCCCTGATGAACACAGATGCAAAAGTGCTCAACAAAAAAATTAGCGAACTGAATTCAACAATACATTAAAAGGATCATATATCATCAACAAATGAGATTTATTCCAGGGATGCAAGAATGTTTCAACATTGACAAACCAATCAATGTGATTCACAACATTAACAAAATTAAGGATAAAAATCATATGATCACCTCAATACATACAGAAAAGGTATTAACCTACTTCAACATCTATGATAAAAGCTCTTATCAAAGTGTGTATGGGGGAATGATAAGCATCATAAAGATCAGGAACAAGACACTCACCACTTTTAGTCAACATAGTATTAGAAGTCCTAGCCAGAATAATTAGACAAGAAAAAGAAAGGGCATTCAAATTAGGAAGAAATATGTCACTATTTGCACATGACATGGTACTGTATATGAAAAACCATATAAGTGCCACCAAAAACTGTTAGAACTAATCAACAAATTCACAAAAGCTGTAGGATACAAAATCTTTTGCATGTCTATACACTAATAATGAACTATCAAAAAGAGAAAGAAAATCTTATTTATAATTACATCAAAAAGAATAAAATGCTTAGGAATTTGACCAAGGGGGTAAAAGACCTGTACACTGAAAATTATAACACATGATGAAAAAATTGAAAACACAAATAAATGGAAAGATATTCTGTGCTCCTGGATGAGAAGAATATTATTAAAATGTCCATACTACCCAAAGCCACCTATAGATTCAATGTAATCCCTATCAAAATTCCAATGGCATTTTTTGTTTAAATAGTACAAACAATCCTAAAATTTTTATGAAACCACAAAAGGCCAAATCACTCTTGAGAAAGAAAAATGAAGCTGGAGGCATCATGCTTTCTGATTTTCAAATATAAAGCTATGGTAATCAAAACACTATGGCTTTGCCATAAAGCAGACACATAGATCAATAGAACAGAATAGCACACAGAAATAAACTCATGCATATATGGTCAATTAAGAATACACAATGGGGAAAGGATTTTAATAAATGATGTTGGGAAAACTGGACAGCCACATGCAGAATAATGAAACTGAACCACTATCTTACATCAGACACAAAAACTCACTCAAAATGGAGGTGCCTGGATGGCTCAGTCAGTTAAGCATCTACCTTTGGCTCAGGTCATGATCCCAGGGTCCTGGGATCCAGCCCCATGTCAGACTCCCTGCTCAGCGTGGAGTCTGTTTGTCCCTCTCCCTCTGCTCCTCCCTCCCACTCATGCTCACTCTCTCTTTCTCTCAAAATCTTAAAAAAAAAAAAACAACTCTAAATGGATTAATGATTTGAACATAAGACCTGAAACCATAAAACTAGAAGAAACACAGGTGGTAAGCTCTTTGCCATCGGTCTTGGTGATAATTTTTTCGGATTTGACCAAATGCAAAGGCAACAAAAGGAAAATAAGTCAAAGTATATCAAACTAAAAAGCTCCACACGGCAATGGAAACCATCAACAAGATGAAAAAGCAACCAACCTACTGAATGGGAGAGAATATCTGCAAATCATATATCTCATAAGAGGTTAATATCCAAAACATATAAAGAACTCCTACAACTCAATATCAGAAAAATAATCTGATTAAAACATGGGTAGGGAATATGAAGAGACATTTTTCCAAAGATGACATATTTGTGGCCAAGAGGCATGTGAAAAGGTGGTCAACATTACCAATTAGGGAAATGCAAATCAAACCTCAATATCACCTTACACCTATTAGAACAGCTATTACCAAAAAGACAAGAAATAGCAAGTGTTAGTGGAGATGTGGAACAAAGGGAACGCCTGTGCACTCGCAGTGGGAATGTGAATCAGTGCAGCTGTGATGGAAACCGCCATGGAGGTTTTTCAAAACATTAACAACAGAACCACCATGTGATTCAGCTATTCCACTTCTGGGTATTTATCTGAAGAAAACAAAAGCATTGACTTGTAAAAGTTTATGTATTCCCATGTTCAAAGCAGCATTATTCACAATAGCCAAGATATGGAAACAACCTATGTGTCCATTGATGGATAAATAATAAAAATGTATTTTTTTTAACCAGTGGTAATAATACAGTAGAGCAATATTCAGCCATAGAAAGGAAGGAAATATTGCCATTTGTGAAAATATTGCTGGGTCTTGAAGGCCTTTGTGAATTGAAAAGTCAAAGACAAAAACTATATGATCTCACTTATATGTTGAATTTAAAAAAAATAATGAAGTAAAAAAAAACAAAAAAAAACCCCTGAGCTCGTAAATCCAGAGAACAAATTGGTGGTTGCAGAGGTGGGGGTTAAGCACTGGGAGAGGTGGGTAAAAAGGGTCAGAGAGTACAGATTTCCAGTTATAAAATAAATAATTGCTAGGTATGTAATGTAAAGCCCGGTGACTATAGTTAATAAAATAGTAATTATATATTTAAAAGTTGCCAAAAAAGTAG